TAAGACGCTGAACTGCAGGCTGTGGAAGGTCAGTAGTTCAGCAGTTCAAGACCCGAGTTGCCGCATGATGGAGTGAGCTCCCATCTCCAGTTCCAGCTCCTGCCAACCTAGCCGTTCGAAAGCAAGACATTGCAAGTAGATAAATAGGTACTACTTCGGTGGGAAGGTAACAGCGTTCCGTGCGCCTTGGTGTTTAGTCATGCCGGCCACATGACCACGGAAACGTCTTTGGACAGCGCTGGCTCTTCGGCTTTGAAACGGAGATGAGCACCGCAACCCTAGAGGCGGATTCGACTGGCTTTCGAGCAAGGGAACCTTTACCTTTACTTTAAGGCACCTCCTCTCCAAGAACCCTGCTCTCCCGAGGCTCCACCCCCAAATGCCCAGGAATTTCCAAACTGGCAGTTGGCTACCCTAAAATGGCAAACCAGTGGAAGGCCAGTTGCTGTGTGGGTAATCACCCATTTTATCTACAGCAGCTGTGAGCATGTATAGCAAGTCCTCCCTTCTCCTCTGTGGGTTCATTTCCTGCAGAGTTCAGAGTGCTTTATGTGGTCACAGAGGACAGACTGTGCTTTACGACTAAGCCAGATCTTCTGACAGGGCAAACCATAAATGCAGGCTTCAACAGGCTGTCAGACAACGTATGATCCAAAGGGAAGGGTGTATCAGCCAGTGTTTTGATCTTGATCCCAGGGACAGATCTGTGTAAGTCCTATTCAGGATTCGAGCCCCACTTGCAGTCTGGCCAGGGCCCAGATCCGCCTCATGTCAACACCCAGCACCAGGGCACACCCACACCAACAAGCAAACCGCAGTTTGGGCTGCCACAAGCAGCTGATGCCAGTCTGGGCCAAGGAAGAGGGAGCAGGGCGGAGAAGAGCCAGCTAATTGATTGGCCTTTTCTCTCCTTGCCAGATGTTGGGAAGACCAACTGGGCATGTGCAGCTAGGGTAGGGTGGGGGGCACCCTGCCTGGCGTGGTGGTTGCGACGGCGGAGACGGCGGCGGCGAGGCATCGGTTCCGGTGCAGATGGTGTGGCGTGGCGATGCAAGAGATTGGATTTATACCCCACCCTTCACTTGGAGTCTCAGAGCGGCTTACAAATTCCTTTCCCTTCCCCTCCCCACAACAGACACCCTGTGAGGTGGGTGGGGCTGAGAGAGCTCTGACACAAACTGCTCTTTTTCAAGGACAGCTGTGCCAGAGCTTGTGACTGACCCAAGGTCACATCAGCAGCTGCAAGGGGAGGAGTGGGGAATCAAACCCGGTTCTCCCAGATTAGAGTCCGCGCACTTAACCACTACACCAAACTGGCCAGCTAATTGGTTGGCCTTTTCTCTCCTTGCCAGATGTTGGGAAGACCAACTGGGCAATTGCAGCTAGGGTAGCTAGACCCCCACCAAGTGGAGGCGGGGGTCCCTCGCTGCCAGGCCCCACCTCCCTGCCGCCAATCAGCTGGCTGGTGAGGGGAACTTACCCCGAAAAAGGGGAAGATCCACCTGATATGCAGCGATGTGACTACATCACTGCCCTGTGACCCGGAAGTGATATCGTCACGCATCCAGGATGTTGAGGTGACACTCTGGTATCTGGGCAAAAACTCTATGGTAGAAGCCCAATTTACCATAGAGTTTTTTGCCCAAATACCAGAGCACTGCCTCGGTGTCCTGGATGTGATGATGTCACTTCCAGGTCATGTGGGCAGTCAGGTAGACCTGTTGCTCTATGTCGGATGGGCCTCCCTGCTGCTCCTGGTAAGTCACCCCCTCCCCTGCCAATTGCCAGGGAGGGCCTGCCAACCATACATGCAGCTTGGTTGTGCCAGACCTCATAAGGAGCTAGCGAGGGGGTTGATATGGGCTTTTCCCATAGAGTGGAGGACAATTGATAATAATAATAATATTCTATTCTATTCTATTCTATTCTATTCTATTTATTAAACTTATACCCCGCCCTCTCCCCATGAGCGGGCTCAGGGCGGCTCCCACAAAAACATAAATACACTAAAATACACAATATTAGACCAAACAATAAAACATTATAATTACAAAGCGCTGGCGGCTGATTAAGTTCATCTAGATGGTACATTACAGGAGTAAGTTCCGACTGTCCAGATGTTCCACGCTGTCTCTGCTCATAATCAGTTTGATGTTAAAACCACGGGCCAGGCCTGCTGTAACGGCCTGCCGTAAGAGCCTATAGCAGCGGCAGCCCCTAATTAAATGCCTGGCGGAAGAGCTCCGTCTTACAGGCCCTGCGGAACTGCAAAAGGTCCCACAGGGCCCTGATCTCCTCTGGGAGCTTGTTCCACCAGGTAGGGGCCACCACCGAAAAGGCTTCGGCCCTGGTGATGGCCAGCTTGGCCTCCCTCAGGCCAGGGAGGGTCAACCGATTTTGGGACCCCGACCGTAGTGCTCTCTGGGGTATATACGGGGAAAGGCGGTCCCTCAGGTATGTCGAACCTCGGCCATGTAGGGCTTTAAAGGTAAGAACCAGCACCTTGAAGCGGATTCGGTATGCTATTGGCAGCCAGTGCAGTGTCCTCAGCACAGGCTGGATGTGCTCTCGTCTAGGGAGGCCCATCAACATTAATGATATTAATGAATAAGCAAATGCGATCCCTCTTCATTCGTCATATCTGAGGCCCTGTGGGCCCCAGAGGGGTCTCACGTCAGGGACAACAGAAGACGATTTGCCGAAGGAGGGGGTTCGGGACACTCCCAGACTCACAAGCTTATCTAATGATCGTTATGGATCGGTAGGAGAAAACACTACCAGGTTCTAACACTGTCAGGAAGACAGTTTGTGAGGGGACGGGGTTATCTTACCATGATCCGTCAAAGCCTCCATCGTGCGGGCCTCTTCCTTTGCCTCCTTTTGTCTCGGGGTCCTGACCGTTCTGACATTCACATGAGGCTCACAGAATGCCATTTGGGGGTCCACGTGCAGAAGAAAAGGAGGCAAGCGGGCCGAAGAACAGGCCAGAGGGCCGACACTCAGCCGGATGAAATAAACGGCAAGCCCGAGAGGGATTCCCTGGCCGCATGAACAGTTTAGGGAGACAGTGACTGGCCCCATGAAGCTCACTCTCTGAGTAATGGACCCAAGTCGGAGCCATGACGGAAAGGGCACAGGCTCTGGTCTCTGCTGGTCAGGGTACGGTGAGTAGGGGAAGAGAGAGCCGGTGGTGGCCTGAAGAACTTGAGGGGAACTGGCCAGTGCACCTCCATCCAGCACCTCACGTCTGTCACAGTCGGAAGGTACCTCACAGTAGAACAGGTAGGGCTGCCATTCCCCAGGTCCAGGTGAGGAATCCCTGTTTTGGGGGATTCCCTGCCCCCCAAACAGCAATGACCCCTACATGATGGTGTCGCGCTCAGTGTTGCCCCCAGGCCCTGTAAATCCAGTCGCCATGTTGGAGAAATCTTAAAGAAGGAAGCGAGCGCCTCAGATTTGAAAGGGCTGGGTGTTACGTCACAGTCCAGAGACCTTTCTCAGATCGAGCACCTTTCCACCCTCTCTCTCTGGCTTGGCTGAGCGATCGTCTCTGAACTCCTCCCCGGCACTCTTCCGCTTCCCGTCTTTTATCTCTCCTCCCCTCCCTTAGTGGACACACCCCTCCGACTATTACAGAGCCCATAGCCTCTTCCAGCTGCCCATCACTGTGTTCCCCAATCCCTGGATGCTTCCCCTTTTGGTCCCGCCTCCCTTTATATCCCTGTGTCTCTAGCCTGGAGCTGGGGCATGCAGGGGAGTGCCTACTTCCGTCAAGGACGAATGGACCAACGCCCGCTGTTTCTGCTGGGACCTTCCACCCGCCTCTTTCTCTAGACCGCCCCCCCACCCTGAGGCAGTGGCTGAGGAATGTTGTCCGTGCAGGACCATTCCTCCAGCCCCATCTCTTCCTGGTTCCTCTTGCGTCTCAGCCGTCGTTGAGGGAGGGGGTTGGAGACTCGCGAGTCTCCTGGACTGCCTCCCATGGCTTGTCTGTTGCCTGGGATTTGCGGAGAGCCCGGCGTGTGTAGCGCCAGTCCCGCCACAGCGGCCTGCAAGGCCACAGAGGAACCCGCGGTGGGACAGATGGCATCATGCAGAAGTGACACCATCACGTCAGAGACATTGCGTGGTGATGCTCTGGTTTTTGCTCGGAACTCTATGGTTTGATGCCAAGTTTACCACACAGTTACCCCAAAAAAACCAGAGTGTCACTCCCAATGTCACTGATGCAATAATGTTACTTCCAGGTGATGCCAGTGCATCACACGATGTCCCGTCTGTAGGGGAAATTGGCAAAATAGTTAAATATCCAGAGATGGCAGTGGATCTTTGCTTCACTGGAGAGGAGGCCTTTTCTTCTATGTAAAAATCTTTATTTCTAAGGGAAGGGTTCACATGGAAATCTACAAAAGAACAAAGGAACCTAAGGCTACATCTTTACACTTTGACCACACGGTCTACGACAACCATGGAGATTCTTCTTCTTGACTCCTAGAAGGAAATCACCTGAATGCGTTAACCAATGCTTGTTAATAGATAGGCTTCACTTTCCCGGGCTCTCTTCCCATTGGCTTTCTTCCAGGTCAGTCTAAACAATAGCACACATTAACCCTATAATGACTGGATTTTAGACCTTGCAACACACGTATTTCCAACACCATCCACTCCCAGAATGCCCCCCAAATCCCCCGACTGGTGCAACGAGGGGACCTGGCAAATTAAGAACAAGGTTCCCCAATGTGGTTCCCATGGGCAGTATAGCACCCATCAGTACTTCCCTTTGCACCCTCCAACCATTACAGAAAGTGGGCAGGGCTATTATAAGGCAGGGCTTCTTATTGGCTGCGCTCATTCCACAGGAGGTTTAGGAGGACTGATATGTATCTAGGCGGTGGGGAACGGGCCTCTGGGGCAGGGGTTTCCCCGCCCTCCCGGGGGGGACTTGGCAAGCCTAGTTCCAAATGGCTACCTGGGTGCAAATGGCTTCTTGTTGAAACCTGTTGAGGCACCAATCTTATACTGAATATTGTTTTAAGATAGGTTTCAAGATATATATTTTTAACTGTTGAGTTGTGTTGTGAATTTTATGATGGAACCCGCCCTGAGCCCGCTTGTGGCGAGGGCAGGAGACAAATCTAATTCAATAAATAAATGAATAGAATAGAATAGGAATTCCCCAAAACTCTATGGTAAAAAAACATCAGGATTTGGGAGATTCCTAGAGCATCTCATGTTGCCATTTCCCCCCCCTCCCCATCTTGCTCCCACCACCCCACTGAGCAAGGGTGGGGGCCTGGGGGACTGAGTACTGTCTACCCACCCACCCACCCCATCATTGCTGCCTGCTATACGCCTAAGCCAAATCACAGAGTTAAAAAAATTTCTTTCGGCATGTAAACATTGTGTTTAAAAATAAATCTTCTGGTTCACTGTTCTTGTCCGTGTTCTTTAGATGTGGTAATGGCTTCTGATCTGTTTGGATTGGGAGGGATTTTGTGCATGCATGATTTCACAAAGCACCGTGGGAGTCGCATTCTCCCCCCCATGTGTTTTTCATGACTTAAAAATAAAGTTTGATATATATATTTCAATTGCATCTTGCAGCAAGAAGCACCCCTAAAAGAAAAACATTTTGAAAGCGAGCAAGCACACCCAATAGGGTTGCCAAGTCACTTACCTGGCACAGCGGGGGAGACCCGGTTCCGGTCTGGGACATTTGGATGCGTGCGGCGCAATGACGTCACCCGGACATGACGTCATCACGTTGGGCACGTTGCCGGCCAACACTCTAGCAATCAGCCTGGAAACTCTATGGTGCCTTAGAGTTTTCAGGCTGATTGCTAGAGCGTTGGCCAGCGACGTGCCCGGCGTGATGACGTCACCTCCGGGTGATGTCATGGCACCAGGCATGTCGGCCCGAACCAGGCACTTTGGGGGCGCCCCCCCCCCCCCCCGGCCCTACCCCGTCGCGGGGGT